CCACCTTTGGCCTGTTCCACCATTGCACTTCGGAAGCAGGGAACTTGTCTTCTGGATCTCACAGGTTTGCAGGGGAAGAGGAGTTTGGCTCCAAGAGGAATATGCCTATGTCTCGCCCGTATTTGATTTTGAGGATTCAGAAGACCAGATTTGGGACTTAAGAGTTGATGGAAGACTTTGGGGATGATGTGATGGGGTGATGTGCTCTGCATGTGGCAAGGACATGAATTTTGAAAGCAAGCTGCCACGTGATGCAGGCGCAGAACAGCAGCTCAAAGGGAGAAGGATCTTCCCCAAAAGCCTGTGCCCTGAATTCAGATGCCCTGCCTCCTCGACGGGGAGAAATGCGATGTCTGTTAGAGCCATTTACCTGCGGCGGTTCTATTCTAGAAGCTGTAAACGACCAAGACAAACGTTGGGGAAACGGCAGCAGCATTTAAAAATCTACCCTTAATGAAAACACTCGAATTTTATTGCTGAAGTTTCAGTCAATATTCTAGGAATAAATAATTCAAGTCCAGCAAATAGAAAGAAAATACTCCTTAATTTCATTGTAAAGAATCAGCCTCACCTTGAAACCAGAACCAGAAAAAGAGGCTAAGAAAATTACAGGCCATGCAGAAAAATGAAACAAGATCTGTACCTCACACCATACACAAAAATGAACTCCAGATGGATCAAAGACTTAAATGTGAAACCTAGAACTATACAGCTCCTCAAGGAAAATTGCAGGCCAATGTAACTCATGAACATGGATTTTCAAAAAACTACTCTAAACCAAACATTGGCAAAACAAATTAAGCAGGATATATATACATATTGTTGTTATGTGCCGTCGAGTCAGACCCAACTCACAGCGACCCCTCCCTGTGTTTCCGAGGTAGTATCACTACGGAAGTAGGATTGCCCAACCTTCCTTCCGAGGAGTGGCTGGTGGGTTTGAACCATCAGCCTTCTGGTTAACAGTCAAGTGCCTTAGCCGACTCGACGGCAAACAACAACAACAAAAAATATATATATATACATACATATACATATATATATATATATATATATATATATATAGACATTGATTTATCCAATAAACTCAATAAAGGATGGTGTAGGTTAGAGGATCAAGCACTGTGATCACAACATTAAGTGGTCAGAGGAGGAAAATGTGCTGTCTCAACAGAAGCAAAGAAGTACGATGATCAGACTACCCTTCACTCCTTCACAACCAAACAAATCAGAAACAACGCAATCACAAAACACCATTCCTGGTAGGAAAAAGAACCTCCTTCAGTAGATAAACGACCACCCAGAGTGGACAGCAAGCATCCTGCTTCCTGGTGAGATGCTGAGACTCAAAGGCGGCCCCAACTCTGCTTTCTACCATCCTGGAAGCTGTAGGAAGCTCGAGAAAAGAAAACAGAAGCGAGGACTCGACACCGATTTGTAGATCTGAGTGTGAATGCAGAAAATCCCAAAGCATCTGGATTTTTAAGAGAGTGAGAGACCTGGCAAGGATGAGGCACAAAAACGTAACACGTAAAAACCAACTCAAAGTCTACGTGCTAAGTACATACGCAACTGTAAAAACCAAGTTAAGTGAGACCTCCAATACTATGGCCCTGGGATACATTCTGGGCCTGGAATAAAACTCACTCCCAGGGGCTGGCTCTCAGCTCAGTAGTAAACAAGATGTTTACTTGAGTGCAGACCACTCAACCCACGGTGACGCACCCACACTCTATGGAGATACATCCCTTGGAGCAGTCGACCATGGGGCACCAGAGGGACAGGACAACATTCGCCCAAAGGAAATGCAGGACACACGGGAGCGCAAAACTATGAGGGACACGGGGGTGGGAGTGGGGGCCTTACTGTGCAGGGTGGGGAGGAGACTGGGTTAGGCTTGCGGATGATAAACGGGGAGTGAAACTAAATGTGCACATACCATTGAATGGAAAAAATTATCTAGTTAAGACACCATTAAAAAATGGTTAAAAAAACACCCCAAAATATCCACATGGGACCAAACTGACCACAGCAACTCAAAAGGTTAGCCAGGACTCGCAGGGGACAGTGAAGGTAATGGGGAGGAACCCCCCAGAACTGCAGTGGTCCCACGACCGGTGGCGTGCAATCCATGTTACTGAATGGCACACGTACTGCTGCACTGCATATGCTTCACTGTGTATGTCATACTCAACACTAACAAAGTTAGTTACTAAACAATAAAGGAACGTAGAGCAGGCCTTCAGCAGGCAGCCCGGGGACTCGTACCAGCGTGCGACACACCGCTCCTCCTCCGTTCCCGGGGCATGTCTGGGGCAGAGGCCTCACCTGGCTCCTGGAGCAGGGCTGCACCCCGAGCAGCCCATCTGGGCAGTCCTTGCTCTCAGTTAGCAGAGGCTGGCTGCCCGACTGTGCGCCAAGAGGCCTCTCTGGACCTGGCTCAGCAACCTCCCTCCTCTTCCTGTGAAGTTTTCTTCACTCATCAGGCTTCCTGGAAAGGTCAAACTTCCTGTGACCCACGTCTGGGGCCTCTGTTTCCAGCACCACCACTACGTGCTCAGCGAGGACGGCACGGGGGCTGGTTTCCCGACTCTTAGACAAGCATGGGGATCAGGAACAGAAATGAGCGAATGTGGGGGTGAAGGCATTTTTGCCACGGGGGCAGCTCCACAAGGCAGGCTTCTCCGTCACCGCCCCGAGGTGCAGGCACACAGCAGGGTGCTGGACAGGTGTGAAGAGCACAGATGGAGCTAGAGCTGGGACACCCTCACCCGTGGCGGCTCACTGTGGGTGGGGCGGGTCCACCTGGCTCCCACTGCACAGCCCTAGGCCCTGGCTCCCACCCCACGGGTGAGCTCCACCCTCAGATGTGAAGTGGACAACTCGACCAGATCCCTAGGGCCACCGAGTCCAAGTCACCCAGTTCCAAGCTCCTCTTCTGTGGGCCCTGCTGGCTTCCGGGCTACTAGCAGGACAAGCAGACGCACCCCATCCCCCAAATGAGGCAAAATACACTGAACGCAGAGTGGGTGATAATCACCCCCACTGCCAAAAGAGAGAAAACTGGCTCCAAAGATCAAAGGAAAGCATGGAAAACTTATTGGATTCAAATGAATGGTTTATTTCCATCTTTAAGACTAGCAGAGGGCTCCAAAACAGACTGACTGACATGGTTAGAGTTTCAGTGTAGCAGAGAAAGACCAGACATATGTACAGCGCAGAAGGAGAAGGGCCCTTCTTCATGTCCCTTTTCCAAAATAGAAACGATCCATTTCTCCCCGTGTAAAACCACAAACGTTTTTCAAATGGGTGATGACCGGGCTCCTGAAGTCTGGGTATCGTTGAAATAGGAGAGAAAAGCATTTACATCAAGTCTGGAGGGCACCAACCCCAAGCCCGTCCAGTCTGAGGGCGGCCGCTGTCCACACCCTCAGACGAAAGCCAAGCTACTTCTCCCGTCCTCGATGCCAAGGCGAAATTGTTAACTTTATTCAAACGAACAAACTGGAAGTGAGCCAAACAGCCGAAGAATGAAGACTATTCCCCTCACCTGAGGGCCCTGCCTTCAGCTCCATGTCAAGTGGGTTCGGTGCCGAGTCCCTGCTCCTCCGAGGACGAGCTGAAGCTCCGTTATTGCTAGCAGAGTGACGGCGGCAAGTCAGGCTCGGGGCCCTCTGAGGAAGGACGGCACCAGGTGGAGACAGATTGGCAGCACGAGGCCTCTGTGCTCTGCCCTCCAGGGCAGCTCGGGCACCTTGGAGGACAAGTTTCTTCTGGGTTCCTGGAGGAGGAGGTGTCATGGTGTTTTGCCGACCAAACCCACAAAGCTGTTCAAAGCCTGAAGACCAATGCCCAGGCGGCCTGAAGGGCAGTTAGTTTCTGAGAGAACTGTCAAGGGGAGGGTGGGTGAGGAAGCCAGCTGAGGCAGGCGGGGCTGAGCTCCTGAAAACGAGGGGCAATGGTGTGGGAGTGAGCAGCTGGGAAGGCCACTGCCACTGCTGCCACCCCCCAGGGCCTGTGCTCAGGTGACCTGACTGGAGGCCCCGGAACTGAGGGCCGAGGGCCAAGGGCCAGCACAGGATGGACCACATCAGAAAACAGAGGAAGTTGCCTATCCTGTGCCAGTGGACGGCTCTGGGGGCAGGGTGAGGTTCCTGAGAACAGCTGGTGAGCAGAGACGGGGCGTCCGTCAGGCCTGTGAGGGGGCACTAACAGGGCTCCACCCTCTGGGCTGCTGAGCCCCACAGGATGGGCTTTTATTGCACATTTGTTGTTGAAGGAAATGGGGGCCTGCCCTGCAGAGGCTCTCTGCATCACTGAACTCGCCGCCCACCGATGCCCAGGTGCAGGCGGCACCACAGCTGAGCTCTGACTCCCCGGCAAACGTTACTAAATGAGGTGGATGGTTAGGTCTCTGTGGGGCTGCGTTTGGCTTAGTCACTGGGTCAGGAGACTGGCTGGCTGGCTGGCGGGTGACTGCGATGAGAGGTGGCAGGCCCAAGAGAACTGGGGCAGACCTGCTTGCTCATGGCCCAGAGCCAGCCCCTTGGTGACACTGCTGGCCGGAAGCTGTGTTACAGGGTAAACTTCTTGGTAAACGTGGAGGTTCCAGAAAGAGGCTGGACCCACGATTCTCAGTATCATTGTCTGGGCCAGCCCATAAGCCATGTGAGGGCCCAAAGCAGGGAGCACGGCCCCAGTGGCTGGAAGGGTGGTGTGAGGGCCGACCCCCCAGCTCAGAATGAGAGCACCCCGGAGCAGCCGGGATGGAGAGCATGGGCTGGGAAGGCCCTTGGTCCACCCCCACGGCATCAGACTGGAGATAAGAACAAGCTCTTAGGGGGCTGTGAACAAAGAGTGGGTGACGTGTCAGGCGTCCTGGAAGTCTTTTTGAGCTCAGGAAATCGGAGGCAGGTAACTCAAGATCCTGCAGAAGGCTGTGGGGAGAATCCAGGCTCGGTCTGTCTGTCCCTCTGTCTTCTTGAGTAGCACTGTGCCCTTCATATATAAATGGGGTGGTACCGTTTGTGGTTGATCTTTTTCCTACAAGTTGGGCAAGTATTAGCATTTTTAAGGGAATCCCGGAGGCACTGGCTGCAGAAGACGTGGCCACATTCGGTAGAAACGATGAGACGTCCGTTCTGCACAATCTAGAAAAATACAGAAAGACATGCTCAGCTGGCCCTGGTGACCCTTGCCCACTCTCGAGACTGGGAAGTGAGAAGGAAGGAAGGGTCGGTGTTGCTGCAGGAACAGCCAGCCTGGGAGCTCACGTGGGGAAGGGTGGGGTGTGGTGTGTGGGGCTCTCTCCTTGGTGTGACCTGGGGTCCTACAGCAGCAGCAGCTCGGGGGGTCACGAGAGGCCACGGCTACCAGCACCCTCAGGGCTCAGTGAGGGTTAGGGCTGCTGTACCAGGTAGAGGATGGGCCTGACACATACACACACAGAGACAGAGACAGAGAGAGAAAGAGAGAGAGAGAGCCGCCCGCCCGCCCGCCCGCCCAGGGTGGGAGGAGCCAGCACGGTCTCTCGACAGAGACACAGGACAAGCCCCATGCTGAGCCCGGAGGGGCTGCAGGCGTCGTGTCCAGTCCCACTCACCGCCGAGCATTCTATCCGGGCTACTTTCTTCCCTGCGGCAGGCTTACCTCCGAGTACCCGTCCATGCAGATTGGACAGCTGACGGTGCCGGAAGGCCTGAAACCACAGGGCGTCGAGTCAGTGGCTCGGCAGATGCCCACATTCACTGTGTGGTGTGGCTGCCGTGTGGGCGCAGCCCCAGCCCCTCTGAGACCCTCCACCAGGCCCCCCCGGCCTCCCGTCCTGCCTGAGCCCTAGCTGACTGCCCCGGGGATGCGGGGGAGGCGGCCAGAGAAAGGAGCAGAGGGAGAAGATGGCACCAGAAGTGGCTACAGCCTTAGGCCCCCTGCCCTCCAGCTCCCTACGCTCACTGCCAGGCCCCAGCTTCCAGAAATGGAGGCCAGCCCCAGGCTGCCAGCTCTGAGCTCAGCAGGGTGAAGCCAGGGCCCCTGCCTGCTCAGCACCCACACCCAGGCTGCTCCGTCTGCCCAGTCACTGCGGACCGACCCTGGTCACCTCGGAGGCAGGGGCAGCAATGCTCAGTCAAGCCCTCCAGACTGAGGGGCTCATGGCATCTGCTGAGTCACAGTGTCACTAACGCCCCCGCCCCCACCCCCACCCCCCGGCCGGACGAGTGGGCCCCTGTACCTGAGTCCTGCGGCGCCCTCCTCCCTGGCGTTTCTGGGTGTGTGTGGGGTCACGTACACATCCCTGTCCCTGGGCGGCTCCTCGTCGTCACTGCTCACCACACAGCTGTAGCCGTGTTCCTGGCGGAGCCTCCTTGCGGTCCTCCTGGGCCGCCTCCTTTCTGCAGTTTCAGGTGCACCGTCAAGGCTGGGCCGGGCCTTCTGGGCTGCTCACACCCTCACCACCTACTGTGGCGCCTCAGCAACCCTCGCCCCTGCCTGGGAAAGGCCACCCAGATCCCTAGAGAGAAACTGCCACCATGGCCCACAACACCCTAAAGGTCCCACCCAGGCTCCACAAGGCCACATCCCATCTTCCCAGGAAATCCCGCCCCCCCCAGAGGCACCTGAGCTGTGCACCATTCTAAGGCAGCCAGCTTCCCCCAAAACCCAGTTGGTGCCAGTGCAGGGAGGGGAATTCCCTCAGCAACTGAGAGAGGCCTGGAGGTGCAGGTCTGACCACAACATCCTCACACGTCTCCTTGCTTCTGAACCCCTTCAGGAAGCCCAGGACTGTGACAAGGGCTGCCAGAACCCCCAAAAATGAGACAAGACACTCACCATCAACAATCTTCAAGGAAGGAGAGAAACAGAAAAAGCAATCAGTGTGACATAAAATACTCAATGAAAAATATTCTTAAATGACAAAAGTAGATAGTTCTCAGGTCAAGTGTGCAAGGCATTGTGGAACCCTCTGGAGGAAGGCCCCTAGGCCTGCTTCTGCCCAGCACCCAGCCATGGCAGGCCTGCCCATCTTCTGGTCAGCCAGTCACCGTGGCCACAGCTGTGCTGCCCTGACGTGCGAGGCAAGTCTGTGCAGGTTCATGCGCAGACCTCAGCACACCTAGGCAGCTGCCTGACCCGGGGGACTGACCCACTCGGTGGCAGCGGCCCTTCTGTCAAACAGTGCACTGCGGTGAGGACTAAAGGAGACCCTGAGTATCTGGCGCAGGACCAGGCCCTGTGCTCAGTCAGCGATGCCCATGAGATGCCACACCCTCTCCATGGCCGCCGCTGCCATGTGAAGGATCATATGTGATGTGGCTATGCCCGATGTCTGAGCCTTCACTTGGAGGAGGGGGTGCAATGCCTGCTACGCTATTAAAAATAACTAAAGAGGTAAAAAGAAGTAGGACATGTGTGGTCCCATTGTGAGAGTGGCATGAACCAGTATTAGGATTAATTCAGTTCTGTGTATGTGAGGCCTAACCAAAAAGCTCATGAGAACTTGACTAACTCCTGTCCCAACTGCCCCCCCAAGTTTCAAACAGACCCCTTCACTGCCCTCCCTGCCCACCTACAGCCTCCCCAGAAGCACACCTGCTCCCTCCTGTGCGTCACGTGGATGCACTACTTTGGGAGGCATTCTCCAGGTCACATGGGGCAGGTGTGGGGACCATGCCCTTTGGCACACATCCCACATGGGAAGGTCTAGCCCTGTTCTGATTCCCCTGCAGCAGCCAGCGGCTTGGTTGATGTTGGCAGGTTTGGCCAAGGGTACCGAGAGGCAGGGTTAGTGGAGGCAGCAACACTGGACCCAGGTTCCTCACCTAACACCATGCCGTGGGGTGAGCTGTGGTGGTGCTATCACTCGGAATTCCAAGATTCTCCCCCTCCACCTCCCGCTGAGGGCAGAGGTGACAGCTTCCTGACTGGGTAAATGCTGAGGCGTGGAAGCCACTGTGCCTTAGCTTAGAGACTAGGACCCCCAAACGGCTCAACACTTGGTAATCACTTCCATCCATATATTAAAACTCACTTCTGCTGAAGAGTAATTAGAGTGGCTTCTGTTCCCTGAGAGAGACCTCAAAGAAAGGTGATCCCACAGAATGTAGAAATTATAGAACAATATCATTAATATCGCACACAAGTAAGATCTTACTGAAGATAATTCAGAAACGTTTGCAGCAGTATATTGACAGAGAACTTCCAGAGGTTCAAGCCGGATTCAGAAGAGGACGTGGAACAAGGGATATCATAGCTGTTGTCAGATGGATCTTGGCTCAAGGCAAAGAATACCAGAAAGATGTTTACTTGCGTTTTATTGACTATGCAAAGGCATTTGATTGTGTGGATCATGACAAATTATGGATAACATTGAGAAGAATGGGAATTCCCGAGCACTTGATTGTACTCATGAGGAATCTGTACCTTGACCAGGAGACTGTCATTCGAACAGAACAAGGGGACACTACATGGTTTAAAATCAAGAAGGGAGTGCGTCAGGGTTGTATCTTTCTCCACACTTATTCAATCTATATGCTGAGCAAATAATCCGAGAAGCTGGACTATATGAAGAAAAACATGGTATCAGGATTGGAGGAAGAATCATTAACAACCTGAGATATGCAGATGATACAACTTTGCTTGCTGAAAGTGAGGATGACTTAAGGCACCTACTGATGAAGGTTGAAGAATACAGTCTGCAGTATGGATTACGTCTCAATAGAAAGAAAACAAAACTCCTCACAACTGGACCAATGAGCAGCATCACAATTAATGGAGAGAAGATTGAGGTTGTCAAAGAATTCACGTTGCTTGGTTCTACAATCGATGCCAACGGGAGCAGCTGTCAGGACATTAGACGACGTGTAGCATTGGGAAAGTCAACTGCGAAGGAACTGTTTCAAGTGCTGAGGAGCAAGAATATCTCCTTGAGGAGTAAGGTGCGCCTGACTCAAGCCATGATATTTTCAATCGCCTCGTATGCATGTGAGAGCTGGACAATGAATAAGGAAGACCGAAGAAGAGTTGATGCTTTTGAGTTGTGGTGCTGGTGAAGAATGCTGAAAGTACCATGGACTGCTAAAAGAACTAACAGATCTGTCCTGGAGGAAGTGCAGCCAGAATGCTCCTTGGAAGCAAGAATGGCCAGACTTCGTCTCACCTATTTTGGTCATGCTGTCAGAAGGGACCATTCCTTGGAGAAGGATGTCATGCTTGGTAGGGTGGAGGGTCGACGAAAGGGGGGAGGCCTTCAAGGAGATGGATTGATACGGTGGCTGCAATGATGGGCTCAAGTATAGCAGGGATTGTGGGGCTGGCGCAGGATCGGGCAGTGTTTCGTTCTGCTGTGCATGGGGTCGCTGCGAGTCGGAAACGACTCGACGGCACTTAACAACAACAACAATCTGTTCCCCAAACTGGACCCGGACAGCTCCAACGGCCACCCAGGAAGGCATGGGCAGGAAGCTCTTCACTGCACAGAAGAGAACACAACCCAGTCACCTGGAGATACTGAAGGTGCCCCCTCCTCCACAGTAACTGAAGAGGATGACTGTGGAGAGTGGCTCTCATTTACTTGAAGAAAAGCCTAGGCTGGCAGAAGGAAGCTGTCCACATGTAGACTAGAAAGGGGAGCTGAAAGGCGGCCATGGCTACAGTGCTGGCCCAGGAGACACCCCTCAATTTGGCTGGGAGCAGAAGTGAATTGCCACAGGCATGGACGCACCCCAACACTGCCCCCACTGGCTTTTGCCAAGACGGGCCACGGACTAGGCTTGTGCGCCTGAAGAGAGTGGGAAGACAGCTGACGGGATGAGCCTGTCCCCCGGCAAGCAGGGTGCAGGGTCCAGGTCTCTGGGAGTCAGGAGCAGTGTGCCTCCAGGCAGTGCCCAGGGCCCTGCTGGCACACGGCAGGTGCGCTTACATCACTACCGGGAGGATGAATGCCCAGGTGGCCAGAGCCCGTGGGCTGGTGATGAACCTGACTGGCCCCACACCCTCCATGCCCTGGGCCATTCTGCACCCCGGTGCAGGCTTCCAGTGACGGACCAAGACGGTATCTTCATCACTGCCCCCTCCACCCGGAGCCACACCATCCACACCCCACCAGACCCAGGATCCTGAGGCGTCTGAATGCTCTGCCATGGAGTGCCCTCCAGGCTGTGGTCCTGCACAGGAGAGGGAGGCCAGAGCAAGGTGGGCTACTCGAATCTGGCCGAGAAGTGAAAGCCCAAAACAAAAAGCCTCCCCCACCAGGGTTAACCAGGCTCCTGGTGAGTAGGCAGGACAGGTCCTTCCCTCCACTGATGACATGGCCAAATACTCAGCACTCTCCACTCCAGGGGTGTCCTGCAGTGGCTGGAGTAGTACAATGGGGCAAAAGAATTTTTCAGAATCAAGCAGCAGGATGCTTAGGGTCACTGTGCACTCAAGTTGATGCCTGGCATTTCTGAGAAAGCACGTGTACTGAGAACTTTAGATGACCACTCCTCATGGTACTGCACACTGTGTGACTGGAAAACGGCCATCCTTCAACCACTGTGCACGTGAAAGGTCACTCTTTCTATCTAGAATGTGTCCATCATACACAATGACAGATGACTGTTCCTTGGGGCCCTGCTGCGAATACCAGGAAGGCAGAGCTCCTCCAACAGCACTGGTCCCTTCACCGTGCCCTGGTGCCACACTGACTGGGCCCAGCTTCTGCTGGCCTGCAGAGAGCGCTCTGACAAGATCTGTTTAATGCTGCCTCAGAATGGCCCCCCCAGGCAGGGGACAGATGATAAACACAAAGCATGAGTCATGAGCACTCTATGGAAACAGACCAGGGGCTGCAGGAAGACCAGCCGGATGTTAAAAGACACAAGCTCTTGAAACTCAATGAAGGAAAAAGCCCAGGCAAGTAACATTGTTAAGAGCCTCCCCCTCCCAGGCTGGGTTTCTTGGAGAGGCCTCCCCCAACTACGTGCCCTGCCTCCAGCAGAGCAAACCCTGGCACAAGGAGCAGAAGTGGCTGAGAAAAGGGAGAAAGTTATCCAGACCAATTTTCCCAATGAGAATAACAAAATCCAGGATAAAGCCTTTTTGTTTTCAAAAGAAATAAGGAATAAACAGGCCAAAAATGAAGGGAAAACAATAATCTAGGGAAATATGACAGCTCCAGAGAGGACAGAAACCAAAGCCCTGGCTTAGGGCAGGAGACTGGGGTGGTGGGTAGGAGTAGAGGCACGTGGCAGGTCAACACATTTCAAAGATATAACCTCAAACAGAATGTGTTTTGTGACCACGGTGCAATGCAAAAATGAGCTATGAGAAAGATAAAATGCCTGCATGTGTGGTAGCTGAGAAAGGGACTTGTAAATGACCCCTGAATCAAATACAACATAGCAACACACCAAAACTCATAGGCTGGAGCTGAAGGAAGTATAATCTTAAATGAATTTATTAGGAACAAAATGATGAAAATTAACATTAGAAAGAGAATAGCAAAATAAAGAAGGAAGAAAATAATCACCGAGCTAGAAAACAAACTTACAAGGATCCACAAAGCTAACAGCTGGTTCACTGAAAAAGCTAACAGGGCTGACAAATCTGAAAAGATAGAAAACACAAACAGCCAATATCAGAAATGAAAAAGGAGACACCCAACAGACTCCACAGAACTACAAGCAAGATTAAAAACCGTAACCGTCAATGTCCATACTTGTTTCAACACGCTTGCATCATCAACTATAATAAGGCTGCTTTCATGGACACCAGGTCCCTACAGCACTATCCACAATAGCCTTAAGTTGGAAGCAACTTAAGTGTTCATTGGATCGACGGACAAATGCAACGTGGTGCGTA